AAATAAGGTGGACTAAGATATAAAAAAAAAAGGTTTGATTTTGAGAGACTGGCAGAGTGTTAACATGTGCCAAAGAGTTATCAAATTGAATTGAAAAACAACATACATTGTCTTTAACACATTTAAAGTAATAAAAACCAGAATAGTTTTTGAAGAAATCAGTTTCTAAACTTATAAAACTTGGATTTTGTGGGATAGCTCACTATTGAATTGCTATTTTTTGAGACTTTTATTTACACAATTGATGCTTAAAATCGTTTCAAAAACAAAAAAATATCGTTAAACATGATAATTATGGTAATTAATGATTAAATTGTCTGCGAACACATTTGTATTATGCAATACTGAACATGGCTGTTTACTGTTTTGTGTATACTAATATAACTTAAAACTTTAAGAACCAAAACTATTGGTTCTATAACTGGCATTTCACTTTATGAGATGTCTTCATATAAAACCAATTGTTGAACAAGCAAGTCTACACAATGGCTGCAGGTGTAGTCATTGCATCGTTTTATTAAGGACATTAAATTGCCAACAAAAACATGTCAAAGAACTCACAACATGCTATTGGTCGCTTCCATTTCAGTTAAACATTGAAACGCAAAGACAATAATAGTTTAATATAAGTTCTTCACATTCCATTGGACTTGATATTTCAATTTTTAACTCCAAACTGTGTTTGCTGTTATATATATGTCCTGTGTTCCGAATGTTCAGGTGTAGAGGCCATGCATGATAAAGGTTATTCAACCGTTTACACGTGAGAGGCAGGTGGGGAACATTTAGTATATGTAGATATTTTGATATGTGAAGAGGACCTTCATCTGTGAGAACTAGTTAACTATTACATTTTTCAAGAGATAACACTTGAAATGATATTGTTTTCATATTGATTAAACGTGATTTCAATACACGATCTCGTAAGAGTTGTTATATAAAATTCCTAAAACGAGTTCAATAAACTGTAATTAAGCCATCTTCTGGCGAGATTTATATCATTTTCTTGGACAAGTTTTATAACATTATATATTTTATGATAGAAAATACGAGATCCGATTCTTTCATTACAAATCACTTACCGCATTAAAATTAATAAAATGAAAATTTGTTTTGATATTTTGCTGAAATGTATAGTGTCGAAAATGAAGCCATGGCTATGTGATATACATCGTGTATAATAATGGTTATATGACATTACAATGGCATCATGATAAAGGCATTTAGATGTATTTTTTAGATTACAAACCTTCTATGTTTACAGTTTATGAAGACTTTGTAAAAGTTATAAATTCTATAAACATACCTAGTTAATGAATAACATTAGTTTACTTGTTTAATTGAAACGTATTTTTGAAATTTATTTCTCTACCTTCCCCCATTTCGTATTCTATTGAATAACCGCATGTGTCATCCACAAGTACTTTTATAAGCCTTATTATAACTGAAAGAGTGGTAAATTGGAGTTATATATAGCAAAAGTACCCTCAGTTCAGCTCTCTTTCCAGTGTTATTGCTCCCCTAATGGGATTTAAAAATGGTTGTTCTAAAGAAAGCCTTGGTCCATTGGCTCTGTTCTTTTTTGGTTCGAGATCATTTGTCTTGAAATAATCCTGAGTGCGGTTGTATTTGTAGTAAAGCTTCTCGGACGAAGTTTCCTTAAATGGAGGTGCTTTATGCTTAGCCACTCTACCTTTCTTCCAGATTTAGCTTTTTCATGTTTACCAAAGCTTTCTTACTATAAGAGGAAAATACAAAAGTGCTTTGACCATTACAATTTAGTTTAATATTGTACCACTAATCTGGACTTTTAAACCATTTGAATAAAGTTTTTTGCTCACTTTTCAGTATCACCAAAGTAAGTGCTGCATGGTATTTATGAGTGTCAACTTTTGTGGACTTTATGTTCCATTAACTAAAGTTATGAGTTTTCCAGTAAATGAAGCCACATCACACATATTTTGATATTTCTGTTTGGTTCTCAATATGTATCTGACCAAAGAGTCAGATATGTTACTTATAAAGACAATTTGCTAAATAAAAAGTGCTGTAAACAGGAGACAACACACTAATTTCAGGTCACATGTTTATAATAAGTTTTCTTTTGTAATTGATAACTAAATTTCGAGCATTTTAGCTTTCTGTTAGGTGGACAGTGTGCTCTTTGGACTGTGTGCTCTTTCTGATCCTCATGTACCTTATCATCGTCTCTTTTACTTTCTGTTTTACCATTTTTGGAACGTATTTGCGTGTCGGGGCTATCACAAGACCTACAAGTCTTTTTGGTAGAAAATGTGAATGTATTATTAAATTCAGCATGAAATATTGATACGCACTCTTATATATTTTTGCAAACAGAAGTCAGGTTTTCATCACTTAAATGTTTTATATATACTTTATACACCAAAATTCTACTGGAAGACACCTTTTGTGAATCGGATCAAGAGTAATATGAGATGTACCTAGGACGAGTCTTTTTCCAGGTCCATGTTTAATGTTACATTTTACATATCTTTCATGCAGTCGCTCTTCGTTTTCACGAATGCCACTTGCACCCGATGTGTTTGTGCGAGTATCTATCAAGATAGTAGTTTTTTTTTTCATTTTTCTTATACTTCCTTTCCCATTTTTTATATATCAATATATACTATCTTAACATAATCACTGATGTAGGCTTTTTCAATTTCCCTGTTTCCACAATCATAATACATGTATGTGTCATTTTTTCCGGACCGTTTTCAATTTAAACTTGTCATTGTCTTTTATATTTCGTTTTGTTTTCCTTTCTGTTGACTATTGTAAAGACTCATTCAAACCGAATCTGCAGTTTTCATGTTATTTTTTTGCAATAAATACTTCAGAAGGATCACCATTTTTACAAGATTTTTTGTTGGCGCTTTAAGTACGTTTCTTTCAACTTTGATATTTGCTCGATTCACAAGAAAAATAATCTTTAGGGGGCAGGGGACCTAAAAATGAAAAATTTTGTATTTCAGTGTGACCAGAAACACAATTCCAAATATTTCAAAATATGTTTCACAGGCAGATAACCAGTTGCACAGCATTATTCAATGATATATGACATACATTGAAGAAAATAATAGTTTGCATGCATTGCTCCTTCAAAAAATGACTGACAGCAATTAATATTTACCCCCACCCAGCCAAAATCACACCTAAAATATACCAATATGGGCAACCTTCATGAAGGTGCAGCATACTCCAGAATCCGCCCGATTCCTTTAGAAATATCAGTAACACGCAGTGCAAACCATGGCATTTTCAGAAATGACCAATAAAGTGTCTGTCATACGTTTAGATTTTTCACAAAATTTATCTGAAATTTCTTACTTGTTTGGCGCCAACTGTCAAAGCTTGATTTTTAACTTTTTTACCTCCATTCGGAGAGTCAGAAATACATACAAAGCTACCAAAATGCTTAGTTTCGGGTAAAAACCCAAAAATATTTCTCATTTCCTACATACAAACAAGAAAGAATTACAATGACAAAGAAATATCAGAAGTTATCAGTACCTTCAAAACACCATGTCTGAGTTATTAAAAAATTTGACCGGGGCCATCATTTGAATATGTCCCCTGCCCCCTTACATTGAGCCGTGTACTCCTGTACATCTCCGCCTTTATCAGTATCACTACTTTACCTTAAAAGTGCATGCGCATCACATGTTCAAAAACACTATCAAAACACTATCAAACATATCCAGAATTAAAGCAATTTGGAATGCGTTCTTATGTCTTGAGAACAGAGACACATGAATCCACAGTTAAGCAATTATTTCAGACATGTGTGAAAAAATGAAAACAGTCATGAAAAAAATCAAACAATATTGGTTAACCTTTGTCATATATTTTTTATAAAGCAAAACTTACGTCAACTAAGTTGCATTTACTCGTTGACTTTATTCTGTTATGATGCAACTTGCGATGCATATTGAGATATTTTCGTGGCAATGTAATACATATCCAAACTTGAAACTAATACATCAAGACTCTTGCTGGTTGTACTCGTCTCGTTAATTTTATCTCTCAAAAAATGTTCTATAATCGCGATACTTGTCAGTCGTATCAGGGTGTTGTTAGGTGAAACCTGTATTGTATCATAATATATGATGAGTTTTTTATACATTATTGAGTACAATACTGAATTCAATTGTTGTCAAAACTATATTGGACGAGGCGCTAGCCGTCAAAACACTATATGGCGTTAATAAAATTCTCTTTATTAGTGTTATAATCTTAAGTTTAGATACATAATTATAATTGATTTATAATGTAAAACGCTTCATCGGAGGTTTATTTTTCTATAGTTTAACATTTGTTCACTAAATTAATCGAGGTTTATTGACATGACGGAACTGGTATTAATGTTCCATTTGAGGTAATTTTAGATCATTCGCTCGCTCTATTTTCCCAGAATAATTATAATTCTTATTTCAAAAAAATGACACGAAATTGAAAAGCGTTGTAACGCTTTTGCCCAAATCCGGATAAGAATTTTGCAAAAGTACGATTTTCAATTTATTTTAGAGTATTTTTATTTTTATTATCTTTTTTATTGTCTTTTGTGTGTCTCTCTGTTATTCTGTATCCTAACTGATCTATGTAAGAAATTCAAATTTAATGTTTTCAAGCTTTTGTGTTCCTTTAAATTGTTACTGTAACTTACGAGCTAGTTTGATGACATATTTTCATAATACATAATATATAAACAAAAATTCATAACCTAAGCAAAATTTAAATTTACATAAAATGAAGATTGGATCAACTTTATCTTAAGACCTTCCCTAATAAAACATTAAGTGAACAAGCGTAGCTTTAATGATAAATATATAACATGATATGCACTAAAAGCTTAAAATAGGTGCAGTGCAAATATACTATAATGATTGTTGGGAGTAAACATTCTCTTATTCTTTTATACATGATGATTTATATCCGGTAACTGCGTATATAAAAGAAATAAAAACTCATACAACGATCAACCGCGGTTTATTTGTTTTGTGAAAGTTCGGTTGTAATTTACATTTCAGCGCATGTAAATGTAAAAAAAATTGATTTACACGTGAGCTGCCTTACGAAATAAATTTTAATGTTAAAACGTAAGACGGACTTTATTTGGAGCATGTTTTTGTTTAAAATGTGTAGAGACGACTAACGCTTCTAGTATAAAATATGGATGTCTGTATATATAAGCTGTATATAGTCTCGAATAAAAAGTATTGAACATCGATAATGCTAATGTAAGAGAGTGGATAAATCAAACATGGATCAGACACTTGTCACTGGCTTGTAACAAAGTAGCAGACGACATTCAAATAACGCCATCGGATAAAACGAAGCTGGAAAATTGCAGCATATATTCATGTTCTATTGTGCTTTATAAACGTCACGTATCTATGGCAACGCAATATTGCGAAAAAAGACATTAAGATTGCTTTATAGTGCCGTTGATGGTATTGATAAGGAATTAAAATATTAAATTTGACGAGAAAATGATAAATATTTGAAATTTTAACACGATTATATTTCAGATAAGTGAATCCGGGATAATTGTAGACTGATAGATAGAAAATGACGTTAAGTGAACTACGTAAAAACTGCTGCAAAGATGTTTGTTCTATTTTCACATTTCTGCAGTGAATATTTTGATCTATTTCTGCACGGTGTTTACAAAATCATTTAAAGATGAGTGGATATAAGAGAATAACGACATGCATGTAGCCTAGAGGGCTCGTTAGCAGGTAATTTATCATCTTTTCTCTAGTAATTATTGTTAACAATACAACTTATATGAGTCACTGTACAAAAAATATAGTAATTGCTATCACTAACAGTAAGATAGTATCATATATATTTTTTGTTACTGAGGAATATGATGGGTAAAAAAAATATATATGTTTTTCGTTGTAAAATCGATAATATTCTTCTTGGCTGTAAATTGCTAGGTCCGGGGGAAAATATTTCTTTATCGCCATCATCTTTCTAGTGATTTTTAGTTCAGACAGCTACCTGTGTAAGATCGGCCTCTTGTTCGGTGAAAACTTATTAGAGACGGTATTTATAGGTTTTTCCATAGAAACTGATGCACGACCGAAGATATATTCGTAAGTGCACTGTTTACATAATCCTGGCATAGCTTAAAACCGTCTACTACGAACACACGATAGTAGTAAAATATTATGGAACATTTTCTGGCATTATTCTTGTGGGAAATAGATTATCGATCGTTATTAACTTCGTCATACTGGACTGATACAATGGAACGCAGATGGACGCTTTGGTTTTGTTGAATAGTGATTGGATATTACTCGCATTAAAATGTATATAAAATCTATTCAAGATGAAATTGACGTAAGTTGCCATGCCGACGACATTTTACTACGTCGTCGCATATCAAAATTATTTACTCGGATGAGATGATCAAGTTTACATTCTTTTGTATCATGTCAATTTTACTTTCGCCGGATAATGTTGATGACTCACTAGGAGTTCAATACTTCAAATAAAATAAATAACATGTAGGTTGAAGGTAACATACGAATAAAAAGGGCGCATAATATTTAGAAAATGTGAAAAGATGTTGTTTTTTCTTTAAAATAGATTGCGTTTTACATATTCCTAGCTTACTGGTGACACGCTGCAAAAACTTATAAATCCGCATTCCAGATACATGTACGTGTACTTTATTTAAATCATTGATGACGCGTGCCTTTAAAGTTTTCAAATTAAGTGTTTTTTTTTCTTATTTCATAACAATAATATAATTATTCATAACTTTATATGATATAGTAGACAGGCCAAAGGTCAGTAATAAAGAACTCCAGAATACAAATTCAAGACAAATACCTATGTGTTTAATGGTGATTTAATCTTGCGTGATATGATATAGAATAATATGATATGTAATGTGATGAGATGAAATATGAATTGATACGATATAATAAGATATGATGCGATAAGATGGTATACCATAGCAAGGTACATGTATGCTATGATGTGGAATGTGATATGATTTATCATGATATGATATGATACAATATGATAAGTGATATAATGTTTCATGACTTGATATAAAATAATATGTGATATAATGTTTATGACATGATAAAAAATTATATTTGATATGACATTTCATGACATGATATGATATGTAAAAGATATTCCATGACATGATACAATATGATATGTGATATGACATTTTATGACATAACATGCTATGATATGTGATATGATATTTCATGATATAATCAATTAAATATGATGTGATATGATATGATTTGTGAAATAAGAGAACAAAGTAATACTTTATTCAGATATATAAGTTATTTATGTAATCAAAAAGATTATCGTGTTTTCTGATAATGTATTCAGATATATCATATAAGTAATTGAAACTTTTAAAATGATAACTGATATTATCAAATTAGTAATTGCAATTCAAATGACTAATTAGTTTATGAAATCAGTATTCAATTTATCAAATCTAAAAATTGAGAGTTATTCATATTTTTAGATATGTTATTTTGTTGTATTTTATTAAATAAGTAATGGAATTTATTAAATCAGTGATTGAAATTATGAAATCAGTAATTAATTTTTTCAGATGAATTATTCTGAAAAAGATCATTTCAGTAAATGAATTGTGATCATATTTTCTTATGATTATTTTGACTGATATGTGATATATTAATTTAGTTTACAAATTAAAATCTGAAGATGGTTTTACATGTTTAGGTAATCATCATTATACATGTATACGTATATCGTTATCATGAGTCTAAGATGTCGAAATGCTAAATGTATATTTATAGTTTCATGATGTATCACCTAGAGCTATCATCGATAGAAATGATATCAATGTATCGATGATATTTTTTGTCAATCAATAATCGATACACATTTTAGAAAATCGATAATTTTGACTTAATAATTGAATGCTTAGAATATTATGAAAAATCACCTAAAACATATGTAGAAGCATATTTCATGGCAGTGATACCAAAAAACTTGGTCAGTAAAAATCAATCATTCAATGGGCTTTTAAAACAAGAAACATTTAAGGAAACACCTGAAAGCATTTAAACAGTTGTGAAAAAGAATAACAGACAAGTCATTAATACTTAAAGTAAGTCATTATCGATATATCGGTGTATCATCGATATTTGTCATATGATATCGATATATCGTTGATTTGCTTTGCACTGAATCTATGACAGCTCTAATAGCACCATTTGTATCTCAAAGCCTCTGGCGGAAACGAAATGTAATTAATATAATTATAATTTATAGTAAATCTAGCTCCTATTTATAATTGTACTCTAGGTAGTAAGGTATATTGCTGGTATGCACGTTCTTCTGTAAGAAGTACACATGTCTAATGGTCAGATGTGGTCAAAAAAGAATCACCTTGTAAAACATCGCCGAGGAGTGTCCAAGTAAAGCAAAAAAAAAATGAAATTACATAAATTGTGTTTATTTACAGAAATGACCATAGTACATGCTTATTTTCGGATACCATTTGACATATAAGAGTTCACTCATACACTCTCTATTGCTCTTTGTAAAGGCGTCGACATATTAAAACTGTGCGTTTATCAGACGATATTGCACTGAAGTTATTTTTTAAACAAAACTCGTTTAAATATGTTTAATGATCGTGACATCGGTGTAGTACGTTATATTTTACAGTTATATCTTTGTAGTGCGTTTTTTGTTGCGACGTGACACCGTTGTTCTGCAACATGTTGTGACCGTGACATCATTACAGTGCGTTTATGTTGTGTTTTACGTTACGTTATGACCGTGACATCGTTATGTGGACAAATTGCGTTACGTTATGACCGTTACATCGCTGCAGTGCGTTATGTTATGACCGTTACATCGCTGCAGTGCGTTATAACCGTGATGTCACTGCAGTGCATTTTGTTGCGGCGTGACATTTTTGTAATGCGATCATGACTATCTTCCATTTTACTTTTTTTCTCAGTTTGATTGATTTTTGGAAGATATTTTCTTTATTCACTCTTTAAGTCAAATATCTTACCGTTCTTTGTTTTCCCGTGTTTGCTGTATAAAACATTGTTTTCATTGCATGTTCTTAATAATTCTCTTTGCTTATATCGCTTTTACCAATGTTCTTTAAAAGTAAATAAATAAGGAATACCGTCTTTCTTTTGCCAAATTTATTACTTTTATTACATTAAATATGTTTAACCCATCAATTTATTTAATGTGATATTTACACTTTAATTACTTTATTTTTCAGACTTGTCTGACATCTCTACAAAGTTATCATATTGAATTAAGAGTTGACCACAACAAGAGGCTGGCTCAATGAGAATGAAAATGTTATCCCGTAAAGACTTAGCCATCATACATGACCCAAAACCCGTGACCCGGATAGACTTTGGTGATCACTATCCGGAAGGTGGGTGGGGTTGGACTATAGTCGGCGCGGCCACACTTGTCTATGTTTTGTGTCATGGAATACACTTTGCCTTTGGAACTCTGCTGATTAAAATAAAGGAAATATCAACACAACAGTTTAAAACTGAAATAGACATCATAGATGCAGGTAATTATATTGATGTTGTAATATTTAACTCATTTAAATTACATTTTATTTTATTCCAAAAGTGTTTTGTACATAAATAATTTTACTTATAATAGACTAGCTAGAAGACTTAGTTTTAAGATGGTTCATGTACATGATTGTAATATTTACAATCGTACAAACAAAAAATAAATACTTATCTTCAATGTATATCATTCTCAAAACCGACTTAGAAAAGTATATAAGTATCCTTAAGTATATTAGTATATATATATAGCTTATAATCTACACTATTGAAACAAAAAGGTGGTAATACTATTGTTTTGTATATTGTTCAACGAATGTTACATGATCAGTTCAAACAGAATTGGCATTATAGATTGAATAATTATAGCAGAACATTGTTTTATACTAGAACTGTGTCCAAAGGTCACGGATGCCCCCACTGACAACAAATATATGGTATATAGTGAAAAAATCAACAAAGGGCCATAATTCTGTTAAATTTGGTCGAAGCGAAAATTCCTTCCTTTACTACCGTAAGGCTGTTCATCCCTGGAAGTTTAAGCAAAATCTGCAATCCGGTTTAAAAGGAGTTGCGTTCACAAAATTTCTATATGGTATATCGTGAAAAAATCAACAATGGGCCATAATTTTATTAAATTTGGTCGCAGCAAAAATTCCTTCCTTTTCTGCCATCTACACATTTAGGTTGTTCATCCCTGGAAGTTTAAGCAAAATCTGCCATCCGGTTTAAAAGGAGTTGCGTTCACAAAATTTCTATATGGTATATCGTGAAAAAATCAACAATGGGCCATTATTCTGTTAAATTTGGTCGCAGCAAAAATTCCTTCCTTTTCTGCCATCTACACATTAAGGTTGATCATCCCTGGAAGTTTAAGCAAAATCTGCCATCCGGTTTAAGAGGAGTTGCGTTCACAAAATTTCTATATGGCATATAGTGAAAAAATCAACAAAGGGCCATAATTCTGTTAAATTTGGTCGCAGCAAAAATTCCTTCCTTTTCTACCATCTACACATTAAGGTTGATCATCCCTGGAAGTTTAAGCAAAATCTGCCATCCGGTTTAAGAGGAGTTGCGTTCACAAAATTTCTATATGGCATATAGTGAAAAAATCAACAAAGGGCCATAATTCTGTTAAATTTGGTCGCAGCAAAAATTCCTTCCTTTTCTGCCATCTACACATTTAGGTTGTTAATCCCTGGTAGTTTAAGCAAAATCTGCCATCCGGTTTAAGAGGAGTTGCGTTCACAAAATTTCTATATGGCATATAGTGAAAAAATCAACAAAGGGCCATAATTCTGTTAAATTTGGTCGCAGCAAAAATTCCTTCCTTTTCTGCCATCTACACATTAAGGTTGATCATCCCTGGAAGTTTAAGCAAAATCTGCCATCCGGTTTAAGAGGAATTGCGTTCACAAAATTTCTATATGGCATATAGTGAAAAAATCAACAAAGGGCCATAATTCTGTTAAATTTGGTCGCAGCAAAAATTCCTTCCTTTTCTACCATCTACACATTAAGGTTGTTCATCCCTGGTAGTTTAAGCTAAATCTGTCATCTGGTTTAAGAGGAGTTGCGTTCACAATATTTCTGGACGGACAGACTTACGGACGGACAGACGTACGAACAGACGGACAGACGGACGGACAAGTGCAACGCTATATGCCTCCCACTTTGTGGGAGCATGAAAACTGTTTCGAACTTAAGGTTTCAAACATACCTAGAACACTTTGCAAATGGTAAATTTTGTTGTTTGAAGCATTATAGTCTATTTTTATGTAGAAATAACACGTTGGTCAAGTATCTTATTTTAATATGATGTTCTCTCCAGTCAGTCACCTTTATGTTTAGTTTCATGGAAAGGTTGACTTTAAAACAGGAATCATGTAGCCTGAAAATAACTGTGACTACCAAAGTTGAAAGGCCTTCTCCATAGCATAAACTACTGATAAAGTTATTTCGTTTACACGTTTCATTTTATACATATAAAATAATTTAGTTTATACATGTCTTGATATACTTATAAAGTTATTAAGTTTATATGTGTCTTCATATGCTTATAAAGTTATTACGTTTAAACGTGTCTTCATATATGTATAAAGTTACTCCTTTTATATGTGTCTTTATATACTTATAAAGTTATTAAGTTTATATGTGTCTTCATTAATCGTTATGTAAAATGACAAGCTATGACATAGGAAGAAAAATGGGTTCTCTATATATTAAAGGCTACAAGCACATCGAAAGTATGTCATAAAACAAAAGAAAATAGTTAACTTTTAAAGAAAAGTTTGCTATGGCAAAAAATGTTAAAAGTTTGCTATGGCAAATTTTGTTTAGACCTGGAAGAAACATTGCCATGGTAAACAAAACCTAAAGCCCATTAAAATAGAAATCACCAAAAACGTATAAACTTTAAGCAAATTGATAAAATTTCATTTTAAAGATTTCATGTTCATTAGGAGGGTTAAGAATATTCCAAATTATTAACATGGCGTGACAAAAAAGAAACCGTCGGCTATTTGTAATGATTCATTTATTTCATGACTCCATATGACAACATTTAAAATATGGCTTCTCAAGAATAGTTTTGTTTTGTTGGCAAAACAATTAAAATGAAATCTTACATTGTTAATTTGATGCTAAGATGTTTGACATTTTGTTTGACCTTTGATGAATCTATATTAACTGTCATTTGATGCATAATGAAAATTATTTAAGAAGAGAAAATCCAAATGACACTAATGAGAAAAGTAACTGCTTATTTTGTTATTTATGAGAAATTCTTGAATTATTTATTCTAAACAATGTAATCTTGAAAGAGACCAAATATAATGGAAATATGCAAATTAACTTTTGTTTCATACAAAGAATTGGTGTATGTTGAAGTATAGGATGTGGAATTATATACTGTCGACTGAACATTCTGTTTGAATGTTATGTTATGTCCGATTCTTGTTATAAAAGACAAAGATTTTTTTTTCCATTTTATTCACAATTATTAGATGGGACTATAAAAAAATTCTCTACTTGCGTTATTCTCTATTTTGTAGCACTGTTATTTAGAAATATATATTTGTTATCCTCGAACAAATCTTAATAAAAGGAGAAACACACACATATTCAATCTTAATTTAATTTCAGAGGTTGATTTCTTTTGTGTTATTTATAAATAATAAAAAAATACAATTGTATGAAAATCCTTGACAATATGATAACAGATGTTGCCATAGATATAGATAACAACAGAACTGTAGATATCAGTTAGTATATTTGCACTTTACGTGTTGGTATAAAAACTAGAAAAAGACGTCTAATAAATGGTCTACACCTTTGCCAGCAAATTAGTTCTATATTTACTTATTAAAAGGAAGTGACATTTATGAATTGATAGAACGTGCCTATATGTTGCATTGTCCCTAGATATCTAGATATCATCTAGATATACATGTTTATTAAAGAAAACAATGTTTCCAATGCCTAATTGGTAACCTTCATCTTTTTTATTTCTTCTTAGAATCTTATCGAGTAAATAGAGAAAAAATAAATAGATAAATTTACTTTTCAGATTCTATGAAAATTTCATAAGTCTCCTGCAGAAACGTAACTTTTAATGTTGTTTAAAAATACAGTCATCTTCACAGCACCATAAATAACCTATTTTTACAAAGGCAAAAAAACCTAGTGCCGAGAGTTTTCGTTAACATTGCTTTATTAAATAGAAACTAAAATAAATGAAAAACATTCGGGGGTCCCCACTAGTGAATATGAGTTTCTAGCTCTGATGATATTTTCAAGAACAGAAACATAAAAACTGTGGCAAACGACACCTTATTTTATTTCAAATTCATGTTAATTACTTTTATATTGTAGGACAAATATGTTATATAAGTTCGGGACGACGGCTTTAATGCTTATACAGCAAATAATCATTTTCTTATACTACACAAGTTAATGACATCTGTAGCGAACAGACTGGTTTTGTTACATAATATCAATGTCATTGACACTGTAATATAAATTCCAGTCCTGCTACACAGTCTTTGTTCTTTTGGTAACAGATTGTCTGTAAATTAAACACAACATAAACCTTGTTAAACATGGTAGACAAAAATATACTAAAATGAAATAAAATATGACAAACATATTATGATATGCTACATGTATTTTCAAAGGAATAGTCGGCAGTTTTAAGAATATATCTTGACTAAGTAAAATACTTCTGTACCTACAATTATGCCCCTCATCACTTTTTATAATGTTATAGGTTTGATTAAAAATAGACGAGGAAATTTAGATATAGATCTTTTTTTTCTAATTTGCAAATATTTACTTTATTTTATTTGTAAAGACCTCGGAAAAGGCGCGGAAATGAAGACATGTACAATTGTACATACATTTGTAGTTTGTTCTATTCCATTCGTTTCAGTCATTAAAACATATGTTCTATGCTGATGTAACTATTCTTATTCATTAACATTCATTGTTAATATGCCGCGATTCATTTTTTAATAATAAGTTAAAGTTGTTTGAAATTCATATGATCATATAGATATATTACCTCTTGAATAGATTGATATATATCACTTCTTGGGTATAATGATATTTTTTGAATATATGAGCCGCGTCACGACAAAACCAACATAATGGATTTGCGACCAGCATGGATCTAGACCGGCCTGCGCATCCGCGCAGTCTGATCAGGATCCATGCTGTTCGCTTACCAACTCTATTACAAGTAGACCAACTGATAGCGAACAGCATGGATCCTGATCAGACTGCGCGGATGCTCAGGCTGGTCTGGATCCATGCTGGTCGCAAACCCACCATGTTGGTTTTGTCGTGATGCGGCTCATATTTTGTCTATCACACCTTGAATAAAACGCTATATATCACTTCTTAAATATACTGATACATATTAACACATTCTGAGGTCATCTTTCACAAGAATAAAGTATGTACATATTTACCCTTACTTACATGTGTTTATACTATC